GAGAGAGAGAGAGAGAGAGAGAGAGAGAGAGAGAGAGAGTAACACAGCGATGGAGCAAGCCCACAAAAGCCATGACACTGCAAGCACACGCAGCGTGTGAAGCGAGAGAGGGCTACTGCAGACCTCGATCTAGGCTAGCCGAAACCTAACAACACGCGCGCGTAATGTGTCACCAACAATGTCAAGCGCTAGAGAAAATGCCTTTCAATAGACAAAAGATACGAAATTTTCCAGGCTGTTGACAAAAAGCAAGCTCGACTGGCAGAGATTTGGCATCAGTTCGACTTTCCATAAGGGTCGATTCACACCATTATCAAGGATAAAGAGAAAATAGCGGGAGCATACTCCAGTGGAAAGTTTGCTCTGGATCGAAAGAAGATGAGACTACCTGATGCAGATGCTTACTTTTCTTGCATTTCTGATTTAACAGGGATCGGATATAACAGGACATTTTCTCTACTCCCACCATCCCTGTTATATTAGGTTTCCACTGTACTTGATAATTGATAAAAATAGTAAATTAAAGTAGAAGCAACAGAATATTAAAATTATTATTATCGGTAGTTTGTTGGGAGACTGAAAATTTCACTAAAAGAACAAATCAAAACGAGCTACACTGAAACCACGATCACTGTAATGAATTAATGTTTCCTGGAGAATTTTTTGTTTTTTTTTTTTTTTGTAGGCTAGTGGGGTCCGTTTGAGCCGAACGCGGTTTATTTAAAAACCGAAAGAAAATGAAATCACAGATTTGTTTTTCGTCACTCCTTGAGCATAATCCCTCTAAACTGAAACCAGGACTATTTAAAGCGAAGAAATTATATGGCATTTCGAATCATAGAACAATTCACGAATCAGAAGGTATATTACATATATACATGTATACACACACACACACACACACACACACACACACACACATACACACACACACACATTCAAACCTCGTTATACCGCCACCATTGGGACGAGCACGAAGTTGGCGGAACAACGGGGCTTCCTCTGTTGTACAGCCCTGACTGCCCAGCGTCAAGGAACATGATTCTGCTTTGCGATGTGTGTTTTAAAGTGTCTGTTAGTTGATTTGGTTAGTGTTTAACGGTGCTCTCAACCAGTGGCGGGGCGCCTTTTGGTGCAATTGGTGCAAGCGCTCCACCTAACCCTGGCCTTCACCCCCCCCAAGTGCTCTAGATCTACATTACTACATCCTAGCGATCCGTCACCGGCCGACACCCGCTGGCTGCGCCAGTGAAGAGACAGGCGGCGAGGAGGGTTATAAATGCTCGTCGCACCGCTTGCGGTATTGTCTGCTGGGAGTGGGAGCAAGCAAAATCTTTGCACCAAAGTTATTTTTGTCACTGTAGAGAAATCTAGATACAGTGGAATCCTGTTATAACGAGAGGGAGGGGACCGGAGCAAAATGTCCGTTATAGCAGGATTCTCGCTATAAGGGATC